TAGATCCTTTGGACCAGAGTTCAACATGTTACATACAGAGTACCGATATTGGTCAAAATTCGCGGGTCAGTGCTATTAATGGTCTTGCACTTGATCTTGATTCTCATGAGAGTTTCTAGAGAATAGCTCAATTCTCATAGTCGCGGTCTCACGACTACTCTCACTTAAGTGAGCCCTCCAAAGGTACATGTGCACAATATCCTGCAGAAGTGTTCCTGCCACGGTCTCATTCTGGGTAAAACCCTTCCTTACTGTCACATTACATATGCACTTCTACCATAGGGATGAGCAGGAAAATATCTTCTCTTGGATATTTCCTAAATAACAGTGTTAATGTGTCACGCAGTATGAATTGTTTCTACCCATTGAACTTTTTTCATGGGGTCCCCAATCACAGAAGTTGGGTTACCTCCCTAGGTGACTCCCTTGTGGGCTTAAGTTCATCCCCCTCGACAGTTCTGAGATAGCTTTTCTCGAAAGCCCTTTAGTTAGCTGATCAGTTATATTAAGCTTAGATTTCACAAAGTCTAGTGAAATTATGTTTTTACTCAGCATTTTCTTTATTGATTTATATCTCACTTGTATATGTCTATTCATCTTTTTATTATTATGATTTTATTTCACAAACTCAATCACTGTCTTACTATCATAGTGTAATGAAATGGTAGGTATGGGTTTTTCTACTATAGGTATCTCTAGTAATAAATTTTTTATCCACTCAACCTTAGCACATGTGGTATCTAAGGCTCTAAGTTCTGACTGCATAGTACTTCTTGATATTAGGGTTTGTTTTTTAGATTCCCAAGATATGGTTGTTCCTCCTAATAGAAAGACATAGCTAGTAGTGGATTTTATAACTAGACTATTGATGATCCAATTTGCATCACTAAAGCCCTCAACTATACTAGAAAATCCACTATAACATAAAGAGTAGTCTAAGGTTCTTTTAAGATACTTAAAGACTCTCTCTAAGGCAACTCAATGCTCTTTACTCGGACTATGTGTATATCTACTTAGTCTCCCTACGGCATACGAGATATCAAGTCTAGACTTATTTGCTATGTATAATAATGATCCAATCATTTGTGAGCACATTAACTGTGAAATCGGTTCTCCTTTATTTTTCTTCAAATGTACATGAGGATCATATGGTGTTGATACAGACTTACTATCATAAAAACCAAACTTTTTCAACATTTTCTCTATGGTGCTAGACTGACTTAGAGATATTCCATTAAATGTTTTCTCTATTTTCATTTCCAAGACCACATAGGCTTCTCCCAAGTCTTTCATATTAAACTTAGTAAATAAGATTTAACATCATTAACAACCTCCAAGTTTGTCCTAAAAATTAGTATATCATTTACATAGAGACATAAAATCACACAACCAACATCACTATCCTTGTAGTATAAACATTTATCACTTTCATTAATTTGAAAACCATACTCTAGAATTACTTTATCAAACTTCTCATGCCACTGTTTGGGAGCTTGGTTCAGGCAATATAAAGACTTCACCAACTTACAAACCTTATGTTCTTGTCCTTTCACCATAAACCCCTCAGGTTGTTCCATATATATTGCTTCATCTAAATCCCCATTTAGGAAAGTGGTATTGACACACATTTGATGTATTACTAAGTTATGGATAGATGCTAGAGCTACTAATATTCTAATGGTAGTAATATTAGTCACAGGCGAGTATGTATCAAAATGATCTATCTCTTTCCTTTGAGTAAATCCTTTATCCACCAATCTAGCTTTATATTTATCTATACTCCCATCAGGTTTTAATTTCTTCTTAAATACCCACTTACACCCAATAGTTTTGCTTCCAGAAGGCAATTCTACTATCTCCTAAGTATTATTAAGCAATATAAATTCAATTTCACTAGTAATAACCTCCTTCCAAAAAAGTGCATCTATAGAAGACATAGCTTTTTTATATATCGTTGGCTCTCCTTCTACTAGAAAAGTAAAAAATTCTTCTCCTAAGTCCTTCTCTATTATTGGTCTTTTACTTCTCCTTAGCTCTACATGTTGTTCTATATTTTTCTCTATTGGAGCAACAGAACTAGTAGAAGGTTGATCACTAGTTGAAGGTGTTTCTCTTACTTGACTAGGCATTGTATTTTTGAAAGGTAAATATCTTCAAAAAATGTAGCATCTCTAGATTCAATTATAGTATTGTTTGAAATTCCACTAATTTCCGAGTTAATAACTAAAAATCTATTAGCACTACTATTTTGGGCATATCCTATAAAGACGGTGTCTACGGTCTTAGGACCTATTTTCTTTCTCTTTGGTTCGGGAATAGCTACCTTAGCTAAACACCCCTACATTTTTATGATATTAAGGTTAGGAACTCTTCCCTTCCATATCTCATATGGAGTTTTCTCATTATCTTTAACATATACTCTATTCAAGATGAAACAAGCACCAAGTATAGCTTTCCCTCACAAATTATCAGATAAGCCGGAACTAGTCAACATTGAATTTACCATATCCATTAAAGTTCTATTCTTTCTTTTAGCTACCCAATTTGATTGAGGAGAATAAGGAGGAGTCACTTCATGTATTATTTCATGTTCTTCACAAAATGTACTAAGGTCGGTTAGAGTATATTCACCACCTCTATTGGACCTTAATCTTTCACTTTTCTCTCTAATTGATTTTCAACTTCATTTTTATATATCTTAAACTTATTAAATACTTCATCTTTGTTCTTGATAAGATAAATATAACAATTTTAGAACAATCATCTATGAAAGTTACAAAATATTTAATTCCGGCTCTTGTTGGTGGTCTACTAGAATCACATACATCACTATGTATAAGTTATAGAAGTTGGATTTTCTTTTCTACGCTCTTATGAGGTTTTCTAGTTTGTTTGGCTTGTACACAAATTTCACATTTACGTTTAAAATCTACATGAGATTTGGGAATAAAATTAAGATCCATCATCCTTTTGATTTTCTTTAGACTTATGTGTCCTAATCTTCCATGTCATACATTGCAAGATTCAACATTGAAAACTTGATGAGAAATTTCATTAACTTCCGAAAGTACATTCAATTTAAATAAACCATCACAAATATATCCTTTACCAACAAATATATCATTCCTAGTTATCACAACTTTATTTGACTACATTACAACCTTGTTGGACTAAGGACGAATCACTGACTAAATTTCTTCTAACTTCAGGAACATGTCGCACTCCCTTCAAGTCAATGTCTTCCCAGATGTCATATTTAACTCTATGTCTCCAATTCCAAGTACTTGTGCGACAGAATCATTTCCTAGCATTACACTTCCTCCACTTGATTTATGATAAGATTTAAATATATCACGATCAAAGCAAACATGTATATTAGCCCCAGAGTCTAACCACCAATCTTTATCTTGATAAGTAAAATTAACTTTGGAATGATTATACCTAAAGGAGGGTTCGGCAAAATTATCTTCATCCACTAGAACATTGACTTGGGCTCTTGGACCTCTTTGATTTGGCTTGGGCTTTGGCTTATATGACTTGGTCTTCTTGTAGTGGCAATCCTTAGCGAAGTGATTGATTCGTCCACAAACAAAGCAAGGCATCCTCTCTCTTACTGTGCCCTTGAACTTATTATTATTGTAATTATTATTATTTTGATAGTTTTGTTTTTTACTATTATTAGGACGACCATTAAACCTCTTATTCTTAAAATTTCTTCCACTAGGTCAGAAATTGTTATGGTTGTTGTTACTATTTTTCACTAGGTTTACTTTAGGGGGTCTCTCATTTTATGAGTTTGTACTAACTCTATGCTTCTCTTCAACCCTAAGAGCGTTTATAGATTGGGTTAATGTTAACTCTCCTTGCTTATGTCCAAGGGTCTTAGCAAAATTATCCCAAGAACGTGGAAGCTTGTCAATTAAGCTTGAAACTTTCAAATCTTCACTAAATGTAGTTCCACCTTTTTGGATTTTCCTCAAAAATTCTTGATATTCATGAATTTGATCACCAATGGGTTTATTCTCCACCATTTTATAACTATTAAAATTAGAGATCATAAACCGTTTAATTCTATCGTCAACAATCTCATACTTGGCCTCTAAAGTGTTCCAAAGCTCTTTGGCAGTTGTCGTGGTATTATGGTAGACATCATAAAGATGGTCAGAAAGAGCACTAAATATCTTATTATGACAGTGATATTCAATTTATTCGGGAGTATACCACAAAGAGAATTCTTGACCAGGTTGAAGCTCTTCTATAGCAGAAATTAAGCCTAGTACGGTCAATTAATATCGAACTTATTTTTGCCACCTATGAAAATTTTGACCATTAAATTTTTCGAGTTTAACACTATTAGCTTCTTCTACTCTAGTCATCCTTAATTTAGAATTCGATGACAAAGAAATAATAAGAGATATGCAAATAACTTGTATTGAATTTAAATGACAACCGTCAAAACTCTATTTGTAATAAAATTAAGAAATGTGTTTAAATTATTGTAATAGGTCTTGAAATTTTTTTCAAATCAAGTAGCTATATTTTTTTATTAAAGCAAGTAGCTACTAGTTTTTTTTTTCTTATTGTTGTAAATCCCTTTAGATAGATTCGGTTACTACAAAATCTATTTTTTTTTAAACTATTTTCCAGAAAAATAGAAAATATATTTTTTTTTCAGAAAAACTGTTTTCCAGAAAATTCAAAAAAACTGTTTTTTTTTAAAACCAGAAACAATTTTTTTTCCAGAAAAACATAACTTTTTTTCCAGAAAAACAAAAAATAGTTTTTTTTTTCCTCAGAAAAACAGTAAGTTTTATTTCCAGAAAAACTGCTACTGTTTTTTTTTCCTCAAAAAAAAAACGTTTTTTTTTAATTTTCAACAACAAAAGGTCAGCTGCTTTAGAATGTAAAAAATAATTATAGTTTTAAGCATAAATTTATAATTGGAACAACTCAACAAATATTAGAATTACGACGTAAGTAATATAATCATGAGTGTTGTAATCTAAAATTCGAAATAAAGCATGCAAATAATAGTTAGATCATATAACATGCAATTTAAATAAATAAATACAGAAAATGTATAAACATGTGATCTATATAAACTAAATATATTAATTTGAAATGAGTTGGCATGTGAGTCCGAGAGGCGTGTGATCACTGTTCTAAAGCAACTGAGCCTCCCCACGTGAGAGTACTAACGGACACCAGCGACTCCAAGATCCAACCCAGACACTCGGAGCAGCACCTTCTCAATGGTTACGTCCACTGCAAGGAAAGAGTGAACTTGACACTAATTGAGTTGCCCAAAACACAAGAAAATATGATATGCTTGTAGTTGAAATGGATTTGACAAATGGACAATTAGGAAACTCAACAAAGCTTGGAAAGATAGGCAAACAAAGTTAGGAAAGCATTATAGGGAAAACTTAGAAAACTCAACACTGGATTTCAGTACATATGCTTTTTAGAATAGCTCCACCAAATGATTTATATAGGCACAAAAATAAATCATTAGTAAATTCTAGGTTTAAATGGAATTTACTAGTCAACTTAAAAGACATTTAAAAATATTACCGTTATGTATTAAATGGGTCATTTGTATTGCCACTAAAGTTGTGTAACATTTGAAATAAAATCTGTAATTACTAAAAATTATAGTGGATGAAAAGTTTTAAAAACTTAACTTATTCTTAGAGAATCATCATATCGAGAGGGGCGTATGGGAGAAGAGTTAATTTTCACTCCTCATACTAACATAGAAGTCCATTAAACAGAAATAAGATGAAATTTTTAATACTTTTATTCCTTTTTCATTATTATTACAAAGGCAGGATTACACACTATTAGAACACGGGAAAAAAAAAAGTTACATTATTTTCACATACAAGAATTAAGGATTTTTATTCAATAGAACAAGAATCATCGTACGGAGGATAGGAGAAAATTTTCACCGTCATTTTGGCACGGAATCAACAAGAAGCGACGTTACATAGGTTTTACACTTGGTTTTGGAATTTGTATACCCATCTCCATCCTTGTAGAGAAGATTCATGAAGCATGCAAGATTGAGAACCCGCATTAGAAAAGGCATCGGGACAGCGGTTGGATGTAGGCATTCTTGGTTTATATCCTTCCATGCATTTGTAACTTGTTTGTCAAACTCAGCATACGCCTCTTGCTTTGAAGCACCGTGTTGTTTCATGTAACATTCCACAGCTGATGCTACGTGTCCTCTCTCTTGCTCATGCTACAAAATGTAGAAGAACCATAAAGTTTAGTCAGCAGAAAAACAAGAATTAGGACAAAATAATTAGGGAAAAAGGTGTTTTTTTGGTAATGGAGAATTGTTTTAGGGCTGCAACACAAAATCGGAGCACAAACTGACTCACAAACTGCTCAGATATATCAATTAAATCTGGGTTTTATGCAAATAGGAGATTGGAACTTATGACAAGTAGGTTTTTGCAATAAGATATTTCAAACTTCTCTTTCTTACCTGGTGTCCAGCCATGTCGTCCATGAGTCTATTAATTACGGATGAAGCTCTAACAATCAAAGGTTCACTGGAAACCCAATCAAAGACCTCCTTGGTTGCCAGTTCTCCCATGCCAACAAAGGAAGTGGTGGAAAGCATCATGTAACCACAGGAAACAAGCGCCACCTCCATATGCTCCTCCGTTGTTGGAACATAGCCTTCATTAAACCACTTGGCCTCTTGAAAGTATGCTCTAATTAATTTTTTCATCTGAAACATGGAAAGAAAAGAAAAGAAGAAGAAGACATATTGTTAGTTTGTCCATCAGTCTAAAAATAGGTCTTTTTTTTTTTTTTTGGCAAATTAGGTAATAACTAGGAAGTGTAAAAATACTTACTGCTTCTTTAGCATAATTGACGCAATATGTTTTGCCTTTCTCGGCCATCTCTTTCTCCATTTCACTATACACATCTAAGAGTGCACAATAACATAATCTCATATATTCTGGTAGTTGATCTAAAGCACTGATGTCCCACCTGTTACTCATGTAGTGCACATAAATAGAGTTACTAATTAGTTCCTATATGTCAATTACAACTCAAAAAATTCTTGAAAAAGAATGATAAGATCTAAAACTAAGAGTGTTCTATTTGATTAAATTGGTTGAATTTGACCTTTCGATTGCATCAGTGAAGAGCACAAGTTCTTCAAGGGTTCCCCATACATCATAGATGTCATCCACAATGGAAGTCATGTAAATTACTTTGGTTAATATCTTTCGTGAAATGGAATATTGGGGCTCAAAGTACACTCCCAATGTCCAAAAGTAGCACTCCACCAATCTGTCTCTTGCAAAAGGTAATTTTCTCGAAAAGTCTAAATCTTTCCACCACCTAAAACGTAAAAATAAAATAGAATCAATTGTATCAAATCCAAACTCTTCCTTAATCCATATGTTAATGGTGATGACAAGCCTCTGACTTTGTCAATGGACCAACCTTGTAATACCAATTAGCTCCTTCTGATGCACTTTCTGCAATAGGTTAAAATCCACTTTTGCAAAGTTTAGTACTACTTGATTATGCAAATTGTCTTCTTGGTAAATAGACATGTAATGCCTCGACTCTAGCCTTGTTAAGCATTTGCGGATGGGCCATTGTAGAGCATGTTTTACTTGTTGAGCCAGAGGATTGGTCAAGTGGGGTAACAAGAACTTGAGGTTGGTGGTAGTAAATGCTAGTGCTTCTTCTAGTATACCTTCTCCATGCACCCTGAGTTGTGTTGCTTCGTACAAGCTTAACAGTCCCTGAACGTTAGTGTTGAGGGATTCCTTGAATTTCCCTTCGTCATCCTTAAACTTCTTGAACACATCTGTTTTGACAATTGACATCAAAAAATGGTACAAATTGAACCAGTAAAATGACTTTGCATATCCGGGCGAATAAACATGCGCTGCACACATGCATGTTTATTAATTGCTACATATTATTTAGCCTAACAAAGAAACAAATTGGATACTTACCACAAGAGACATTATGTCCTTGTTGTCTAAGCAATCGGAAACGAAGGGCTGAAGTGTAAAGGTCACCGTCATCTTTATTATCACAACTAGTACAACACTCATAAATGTGTCCTAAAACTGAATCAATCTCAGTATCGAAATGGTAAGACACGCCTAGACGCTGGATTGCATCAATCAAGTTCAGTTGCTGTGAAGGCTTATTAGCAACCGTGCCTAGCATCTTCTTCACTTCTTCTTTTAGTTGTTGATGTTGTTGCTCTGAATGAGTATCAATTTCCTGCACAAGCAAGCAATTACTACTCATAATAATGAATGCATTATGATTCAACTCCGTTAACAAGTGAAGAATACACAAGAGTTTACGAGCTAATTCATACTTTAGTGTAAGAAGCATATCTGAGAAAATGGTCTCCCCAAACGCTAGGATGGTAATTTGCAGACCGACGGGTAGCAGTGGGGGCGGCATTTTGGGTGGCAACTGAAACATACATTGCCGTTTTGTGGCTGTGGAGGGGCGAGGGAGAGGGGAATGACAAGAACACTTGCTAGTTGCGAAGGATTTATAAGTTAAAAGTTTGATTTTTTCCTTCCAATTGCTGGTATTGACTATAGAGCTTTCGTAGGCTATTTATAGTTCCACTTCCTGGATAAACGGGGTAAACATAGAAGTGGCAATTGAGTCTGTGTGGAATTGTTCAGGGAATGTCATTTTAAGTTCGTGTCGAGCATTAATCAACGTTAATTCAATTTATTTAATTAATTGTGTTAGTCATTTTGACACCGACCTATTTATATCGTGTCGTATTTGACTTAATATATAGAAATTAAAAATTCAAATGCAAGGTTTAAATACCTCTAATTTAATCCCACGACTCCTAGTTTTAAATTACAAAACGATTAAATCCATATGATACTAAAGGTTAATTTATTATCAAATTGACAACAAATTGTCGAAATTAAATTTTAAATTAGTAAACTCGAATGTTAATTTGGTTAAATTAAAGATTAATTTGATGTTAATTTAATAAATTAAATATTAATTAAATAAAATTGAAGGTTAATTTAGTATCAATTTTATAAAATAAAATTTTAAATTGATGAAGTTAAATATAAATTAGAAAAACGGTTCAAAATAAATATTAAATTTATGAAATTTATATAATTTGAGATGAAATCACTATCTTTTTGATGTAAAATTACTAAAATTAGTGGTTAATCTTTCAACTTTTAAATTAAAATGATGGCAAAACAACATATGATCGATCTTAATCCCTTTTGAATGTCATTCAAGCTGCCCTTTTTTTTTTTTTTTTTTTATATTCTATTTTTACTTTTTCATTATGCCCAGCACCTTTTCGTATGGTACCATTTTTTCTCTATTTGGTACCATAGAATTCACCTGCTTCTTATCTCTTCCGTGATGTCGAATTTATGCTCTGGTTAGTATGTCTACGTCCTCTCAAACCAATGGACAGTGACGTAATCGTCCTCTCACACATGTTTTTTCACACGAAAAAACATTAAGGACTGGGCAAATTGCGTGATGGTCCTATTTTTGGGCCCCTAATTAATCTTATACTAACAATGTCGTGTGATACAAATTATTCTCTCAATTTCTAAATATCTGTTATTTAAAATTTTTACACAAAGGTCGAAGAAGTTATTAAATAGTTTTAATATGAGTTAAAAATAATTACACAAGACTAAAATATCTTTATTCAATACGTATTGAAAAAAAAAAGAAATATGAAAGGTACTTAACTTCCACATAATCTAATACATTGAAAAATTAATGCTCCGTTCTGTAGGAATGATGGAAAGTAAAGAGGATGGAAAGTAGGAGGGATACACTTTCTATCTTTCAAGAATGGAAATTAAGAATGATATATTTTCCTTATATTGTGTTTGGTTAGATGAATAAAATATAAAAATAACTAATTTGTTTAGAAATTTTTTTTTTGTCTAATATTAGGGATAACAATCGAGTCGTGTCGTGTCAGATTCATGTTAAGTCATAAAATTATGAGTCTTTTATATTTCTTGCTCATGTGTCAAGTCATTTTCAAGTTCGTGTCGAACTATAATCAAGTTCGTATTATAAAATTCGTATCGAATTCGAGTCATGTTATCATGTTAAGTCGAAAATTTTCATCCCTACTTAAGATGAAAAAAAAAAATTTTAATTTAAAATTTTAATTTATTTTTTTATTTTTATATATATATATATATATACACACACATATTTTATTATTATATTTTTATATGAAATAAATGTATATATAATATATAGAAAAATAAGATACATTTTAACACAAATAATTAATTTTACATCCACTTTTCTTTCGATTTTAAAAGGATTAATTTTGGTGAGTTAGAAGGAAAATTAATTTATCTACTTTTTCATCCTTTCTATTTTCCTTCGTTACCAAACATGATATTTTATTTATTCCTCTAACTTTTCATCCTTTTAACTTTTTATCTTTCTATTTTTCTATCATATCAAATAGAGCATAAGGATAAATGTGGGAAAAAATATATTATTTATACTTTGATTTTATTAAATAATGTATATCAAAAAATAAAAGAAATTATATAAAACGATAGATATTTAAGGATCGAAAAAAGACGTCGCTGTCCAAATCAATCAAACAACGTGTAAAACAACTGTATTTCATGGGAATGCAACAGTGGCGGTACAACACATTTTAGTATCATCATCATCATCAAATGTGTGTCCTCGGACTATCAAAACAGCTAGCGACCAGTCAATGCAGATATGTGGGGAAAGGGGCGGGCTCCGGTACAGATATTTAATTTTTTGGTACCGCATGAAAAAGCATTTAAGTTCGTAAGACAGTATATGTTGCCACGTGTAAAGTCAAAGGTCAGACAACCTTTAATACAATAATAGTAAAAAATTAATAACATTAGCAAGAAGTTTATTAAATAAATTCAAAAATTATAATATAATGGAAAATTTTATAACATCTGTGAAAATTTTATTATAGTGGTTGACAAAATTACAATAATATTGGACAAATATTAATCAATACAGCGGAAAAAGTACGATTGACATTTCTGACCATATTTGTCTTAAATACGACATTGTTGCATTTCACCGATGTCCGAATCAAAAAAATTTTGGTATTGTACAAAGAGTTATTCTTTTTTGAGATTAAATTAAACATTTTTGGTATTTAACCAAAAGTTATTATTTTTGTGGTTAAATTACATGTTTTTACTATTTTTCATGTTGTGATCGATCATGAAGATCTCTTGATCAATTATAACTTCATCTTTAAAAGGTATAATTTTATGACCGTTGTAATTTTTACCTCAAAAATTATAAATTTCGACACGGGTGGTACCATATATTTTCCCAAAGACTTGAGCAATATGGATAAAAACTGATGTTTTAACTACTCTTGTTTCATTGGAAAAAATAATTTTATCAAATAATAAAAATATTTTAATACCTATTTTGCAAAAGTACTTAAACAAAAAGGTACATTTAAATATTATTTTGAGATTTTTCGTTTTTCTCTTTTTGTGCAATGGTGGAAGAAGTAATTATGTCGGCATTCGGCAAACCCAATTTTAGATCCTGCGCCACAAGACCTCAAGACATTAGACTTGTAAGACTCCTCCAACACTCCCATGAGGTTAGCAAGTGTTGTTCGATTCTCGGAAATTCTCATACCATGGACCCTTACTTTTAGGCGAGACATTAATAGGGATATCAATGGACTGAAGTGGGGGCGGGAGGCATACTCTCCATTTCTGTATCCGCTTAAATTGATGGCAAAACCACTTACGATCGATCTTAATTTTATATTCTATTTTTACTTTTTTATTATGCCCAGCACCTTTTCGTATGGTACCAATTTTTTCTCTATTTGGTACCATAGAATTCACCTGCTTCTTATCTTTTCCGTGATGTCGAATTTATGCTCTGGACGTCCTCTCAAACCAATGGACAGTGACGTAATCGTCCTCTCACACATGTTTTTTCACACGAAAAACCATTAAGGACCGGGCAAATTGCGTGATGGTCCTATTTTTGGGCCCCTAATTAATCTTATACTAACAAACAATGTCGTGTGATACAAATTATTCTCTAAATTTCTAAATATCTGTTATTTAAAATTTTTACGCAAAGGTCGAAGAAGTTATTAAATAGTTTTAATATGAGTTAAAAATAATTACACAAGACTAAAATATCTTTATTCAATACGTATTTAAAAAAAAAAAAAAATATGAAAGGTACTTAACTTCCACCTAATCTAATACATTGAAAAATTAATGCTCCGTTCGGTAGGAATGATGGAAAGTAAAGAGGATGAAAAGTAGGAGGGATACACTTTCTATCTTTCAAGAATGGAAATTAAGAATGATATATTTTCCTTATTTTGTGTTTGGTTAGATGAATAAAATATAAAAATAACTAATTTGTTTAGAAAAATTTTTTTGGTCTAATATTAGGGGTAACAATCGAGTCGTGTCGTGTCAGATTCATGTTAAGTCATAAAATTATGAGTCTTTTATATTTTTTGCTCACGTGTCAAGTCATTTTCAAGTTCATGTCGAGCTATAATCAAGTTCGTATTATAAAATTCGTATCGAATTCGAGTCATGTTATCATGTTAAGTCGAAAATTTTCGTCCCTACTTAAGATGAAAAAAAATATTTTTTTTAATTTAAAATTTTAATTTATTTTTTTATTTTTTAAATATATATATATACACACACACATATTTTATTATTGTATTTTTATATCAAATAAATGTATATATAATATATAGAAAAATAAGATACATTTTAACACAACTAATTAACTTTACATCCATTTTTCTTTCGATTTTAAAAGGATTAGTTTTGGTGAGTTAGAAGGAAAATTAATTTATCTACTTTTTCATCATTTCTATTTTCCTTCTTACTAAACATAATATTTTATTTATTTCTCTAACTTTTCATTCTTTTAACTTTTTATCTTTCTATTTTTCTATCATATCAAATAGAGCACAAGGATAAATGTGGAAAAAAATATATTATTTATACTTTGATTTTATTAAATAATGTATATCAAAAAATAAAAAAAATTATGTAAAACGATAGATATTTAAGGATCGAAAAAAGACGTCGTTGTCCAAATCAATCAAACAACGTGTAAAACAACTGTATTTCATGGGAATGCAACAGTGTCGGTACCAGACTTTTTAGTATCATCATCATCATCAAATGTGTGTCCTCGAACTATTAAAACAGCTAGCGACCATTCAAAGCTGATATGTTGGGAAACGGGAGGGCTCCGGTACAGATATTTAATTTTTTGGTACCACATGAAAAAGCCTTTAAGTTCGTAAGACAGTATATTTTGCCACGTGTAAAGTAAAAGGTCAGACAACCTTTAATACAATAATAGTAGAAAATTAATAACATTAACAAGAAATTTATTAAATAAATTCAAAAATTATAATATAAAGGAAAATTTTATTATAGTGGTTGACAAAATTACAATAATATTGGACAAATATTAATCAATACAGCGGAAAAAGTACGATTGACATTTCTGACCATATTTGTCTT